GCTCACTGGGCCCCAAGCCCCTCCCCGCTGTGCTCACTGGGCCCGGAGCTCCCCCACTGTGCTCACTGGGTCCCTCCCTGGCACCTTCCTTTTTGCTGGGCACCTGGAGACTGAGGAGGCTCAGACAGCTCTCTCCGGAAGCCCAGGAACCCCTCAGGGAGGTGGGAAAGATCACTCACTCATATTCCACAAATGTTTATTGAGCACCCACTGTGTGCGAGCTACTCTGCCAGCCACTGAGGCATCGAGACCCGGTAATATGAGAAAGCCACACGAGAGAAAGGTCAGGTGACCCTCCGTGCCCACCACCCCCGCCTCTGCTCCCTTCCTCCTCCTGACCACCCCCCACCCCCCACCCCCCAGGGACCAGTGGGCTCCAGCAAGACTGAGAAACTAGCCTTTTGCTGGATGTGTCAAGGCCTCCGATGTCTGCCTGGCAAATCGCTTTCACCCTTTAAGACCAAGCTCGAGACTTCTGACTTCCTCACCCCTGGTAGAACCTGGAGACATTTCCTAAGGAGCATCCCATCGGACTCTGTCACCATGTCGCTGTGTATATATCACACCACACTGGAACGTAGGTGAGAAGGATGTTCTGGGGCCCAGCCTGGTGGAACCACATGTCCCAAATCCAAACCAGGATTTGAACCCAGGCTTTTAGAAACCGAACGTAAAGTCTCTCCCACAACACGGCCCCTGTCTCAGACCCTTGGAACCCAGACCTCGGGAAAGCCCAGCCCCTGGGCTTGGGGGAGGTGGCTGCGGGGTGAGTCCCACCAGCCTCTCCCGGCTCCAGGCCCAGGGCAGTGACTGGGAAAGAAAGGAGAGGTTAGAGATTGCTTTGGCCGTTGTCCAGGACATTAGTGACGGGGCACATAGGGAGATCCAGAGGCACGCAGGCCCCCACCGCCCTGTGACGGAAGGAATCAGATCTCCAAAGGAGAGGCCCATCGGTAAGCCCAGATGACTCCTTTAGTTAAAACCCCCAGCCCGTCCTCTGCACCTGCCATGGGCGATAAGACCGGGACCGCTCAGCACACACACCCCCTAGGAGGGTTATAATACATAAAACACAGAGAAAGAAAATAACAACTGTTGGTGAGGATATGGAGAAACTGGAACCCACATACGCCGTTGGCGGGGAATGCAAAATGGGGTGGCCACCGCGCATAACAAACACAGAACTACCACGTAAGTCGGCAATCCCATCCCAAAGCAGTCCTCAAAAGAACAGAGAGCAGGGTCACGAGCAGACACCCTGCTGTTCACAGCAGCACGATTCACAGCAGCTGTAAAGCGGACGCAAGCCGAATGTCCACTGACAGGTGAATGGATGGGGCAGGTGTGGAACATCACTCGGGTCACAAAAAAGAAGGAAATTTTGGTAGACGCTACAGCATGGGGGGGCCTTGGAAACCCATGCTTGGTGAAGTAAGCCGGACACAAGAAGACAAATACTGAGGGGTCAGATCCATAGCGACAGAAGGCAGAATGGTGGTTGCCCGGGGCCGGGGGAGGAGGAAGAGGAGTTAGGGTTTAACAGGTGCAGGGTTCGGGGGACACGGTGAAAAAATGCTGGCTGTAGGTGGTGGTGAGGGTTACACAACAGTGGGAATGTGCTTAAAGCCACTGAATTGTACGCTTACCTTATGGTTAAGGTAGTAAATACTGTTAGGCACATTTTAACACAGTAAAACAGAATAATCTCCAGGTTAAACACCTGCTTCTGATAAGATCTCCTGGGAAGCTCCCGAATCAAGGAGCCCGACACAGTAGGGCTGGGCTGGGCCCAAGAACCTGCATTTCCAACCGCTCCTGGGCAATGCTGGGACAGGCAGAGGGCCCCAGCCAAGCTCTCCTTCAGGAGCCTCCATAAACGGCCCCACCCAGGAAGGGCCCCTTTGTGCCCAGCACTGCGAAGACACGCTCAGGACCAGCGTCCTCACATTGTGTCATTACCTCGGGGGAGTCTGGCACAGTCTGTGGGATTCAGGGGTGACGTGGCATTCTTCAATCCAGCGCTCAGCAGTATTTACTGAGCACCTAGTATATCACATGTGTGCGTGCTTTGCCTCGGAGGCCCCGGGGCTTGAAGCCGGCAGGGGACATGACTCGGGAGCACAGCACAGCATCCTCTTGAGCCCGGCTATTACTGACTTACTCATCATTCATGACTCATTGCAGAAAAAAAAAAAAAAGTTCATTTTAAAAGGAACTCTCACATCCCCACCACAAAGGGACAGCAAGGATTACTTGGCCGGAGAAGAAGGAGAAGAAGGAGGAGGAGGAGGGGGAGAAGGAGAAGGAGAAGGAGAAGAAGAAGAAGAAGAAGAAGAAGAAGAAGAAGGAAGTAATTGCAGAAAACAATGAAAACAAAATACAAAATAACGTTATTTCATTTGGGCTCATTCAGTTGCTTGCCCCGGGCAAGATGCCCACCCTCCGTTAGAAGGAAAGCCGGCAGGGGTTGAAGTGCAAAAGGAAACATCGGGTCAGGTTCAAGTCCTCGCGACTGCAGACCCAGCGAGAGAATGACAGCGGACTCCCTTCCTCGCTTTGAGATGCGCGATTCTGGAACCCTCGCGTCTGACGCCCTCGCATCACCTAGAATCACGCCGCTGGCCACGCACAGGCGGCACATGGCCCCACGTCAGCAATTCGGGGTCCGCTGCAGGGCTTTCCTGGCAGCGCTGGAGACCCCGAGGCCCCGAGAGGGGAAGGGGCCAGGCCCTTGGGCGCGTCAGCCGCACAGCCGGGAAGAACTTGGGGGAGGAAAGCCGGGCTGTGTTTCTGCAGATTAGAATCCGAAATCACCCACCCGCCAGCTGGGTCAGTCGGGGCAGGGCACTCAATGCTGCGTCCCTGCTCCTATCCTCCTTGGGAAGGAACAGTCTGTCGCGTCTCCCTGCCTTTTGTAAGTAACAGGAAGGGTGCTACCAGGTGCTGACTTGCGCATCGGAGAGAATGTTGCATTCAAAGTTCACCCTCCCCTTCTTGCTCGTCCTGAGGAGTTTCCCAGTATCCTTGTCTGCATCCAGTCCGTGCTCCGGAGGCACCTGCCAACTGTGGACGGGGAACCTCGAGAACGCCTGCGACTCAGGGCGGGGCCGGGAAGCAGAGGCCAAGTCCGGGATGCGTCCGCGAGGGGCGGGCGCTGTCCGCAGCGAGGGAGGGCCGGGCACGCCGGCTCCACTGCGGGACCCACCTCGGCGGGCTGGGACAGGGAGGCGCACATCCTGGGCACACTCACGCTCGGAGCACAGTCTGGGAGAGCCTCCCTCACTGCACGTGCCCTTGCACGTGATCCCACGGGGATCTTGGGGGCGTGAACCACAGCACAGATAGCCCAGCCTGGAGGCGTGATGTCTGGCCTTCTGTGCCCCCTGTCGCAAGCCCCCGTGTGTGCTGCAAAGACGTACCCTCTCCTCCCATCCCTCCTTCCTTCTCCGTCCAGTGAACACTGCTCCTCCTTCCTGGTCCAGCCTGCCCTGCGGCACCTGGGAGGCCTCCCACAACCCCCCACGATATTGGTCCTGGCCCTTATGCGTGTGCTGGGAACCTCGGGTCCCTCAGCACAGGCGTCGTGTGACCCGCAGCTGTTGTGGGCTTGTCTGTCCGGCCCCCTCGGCATCCGAGCCACAAGCACAGGCGTGACATTCGGTAGCCTGCTCCGTGTGCCTTTGCTGTGCTTGCTGAGTACGTGAATGTCCTCGACCAGGGTCGACACACATTCACACACCCATGGGACCCATCGCTGCTGAGCCCCCATCACGCGCTCGATGCCGTGTGGCGTGGGCAGGTTAGAGCAGGGACTTTTGCCGGACTTTGAAAGCCCATCATAGGTGGGGGCGTGCATTGTTTTTTTGTTTTTTTCTTAAGTTTGTGTATTTATTTATTTATTTAGAGGGAGAGGCAGAGAGAGAGCAAGCGAGACAAAGAATCCCAAGCAGATTCTGCACCTGACACAGGGCCTGAACTCTCGAACTGCAAGATCGCGACCTGAACCGCGAAACCAAGAGTCAGAAAGCTTAACCGACTGAGCCACCCAGCCGCCCCCCACACATTCTGTGGCTCCTCTTACACGCCGGGCCCTGCGCTGAGATCTTCATAGGCGTTTCCTCATTTATTTCCCATAACCATCCTACGAGAAAGGTGATACGAGGCACCCATTTTACAGATGAGAAAACTGAGGTGCAGTGAGGTGGAGTGGGTTCCCCAGGGCCCCCCAAGAGATGAGTACCCGGGCCTGGCTCCAGGGCTTAGGCACTAGAATGTGATCCCACTGTGCCCCTCACCAGTGAGAAACAGAGGTTAAGATGACCTCCCAGGCTGTGGTGAAGTCGGGGGGCTGGAGGGCAGTGCCTGGAAAGCTTGGCCAGAGTGGCTCTTGGCATTGGATGGGGGCTGCGATTATCAAGTGCACTGAGCACAATGATCGGGGCAGAAAAGACGTGTCCTGTGGTTGGGGCAGGACCCCGGGCCCCACGGAGTGGGAGGGCCCAACACCGTGTGGCCTGTCTCAGGAGTGGAAATGTGGCCGGGACACAGGGTGCCTGGGACAGAGGCCGGAGGAGAAGGTCACCGGGCAGGCAGATGGGGGGCGGGCACCAAGCCCGAGGGGGACCCTGTGCGATCGCCCCGGTCTTCCTGCTCCTGTCAGAGCTACACCTGCCTTGTGTTTTTCACCTGCCGGGAGGCCCCTGAGACCCACGGGGACCTTGAAGCTCAGTTCTGGCCTCAGAGTCCCCCCGGCTCGGCTGGTCGGCCCCAGGCCCCGACATCACATCCTCCGCACTTTCCCAAAACCCCAGGGAAGGAGGGACGAAGGGTCTGTGGGCCCGGCTCCCCCACTGGTGGCTGAGTGGCCTCGCCTGGCTGGGTGCTCCCTGGGTACGGACTGAGCTGGAAGTGTCGACTCCAGCCGTCGGCTCCATGCCGGGCTCCGAGGGGTCTGGGACGCGGCGAGTGTGGGAGTCACACGGTGTGAGCCACCTTCCGCTGGCTCCCTGCCAGCCGAGCGCCCCGCAGCTGGGCTCTGACCGGGCTCACGACATTTTAAAGGCACGGGCTCTGTGGTTGGAGCCCTGGGTCTGGATCCATCAGGGACATTTATGCCCCGGCTGTCTGGGGGCCCACAAGCCCAGCCCTGACGCATCTTGGAATCCCTAAGCTGCTTTTGATTGCAAATATTCGGGGCCTCCACCCACAGAACAGGGGTGCCTGTCAGACGTGGTGTCCTGCTTCTTCACTCCAGACATGTGGCCCGCATCCCGTCAAGGAACCCGGAAGCTCTAACGCCCGGCTCATTGCTATCGATTTCTGTTCACCGGGGGCTCCCTCTTCCCAGCGCCCATCTCTTCCAAGTGGCCACCAGGGGCTGAGCTGCAGAAAAAGAAGGGCTGTAGATAAGAGCTGGGGGTGGGGACGTGGGAGGACAATTTGATAAAATGCCAACAGTCACTTGGAAAAATGTTCAGCCTTGATAAGCGCAGGGGTGGGGGCGGAAAGCAAATTCATTAGTACTTGCCCATTCAGCCAGCAAAAAATAAATAAATAAATAAATAAATAAATAAATAAATAAATAAATAGAAATGTTAGCACCTAGGAGCACCTGGGCGGCTCAGTCGGTTGGGCGTCCGACTTCGGCTCAGGTCACGATCTCACGGTCCGTGAGTTCGAGCCCCGCGTCGGGCTCTGTGCTGACAGCTCGGAGCCTGGAGCCTGCTTCCGATTCTGTGTCTCCCTCTCTCTCTGACCCTCTCCCATTCATGCTCTGTCTCTCTCTGTCTCAAAAATCAATAAACATTAAAAAAAATTTTTTTAAAAGAAACGTTAGCAGCTAATGTTTGCCGTGTCGTAGAGAACGTGGGCAAGGCGGCCGGTATGACCTCAGTCTGAGACTCGGCAAGATGAAGAGGTTCACTCAAAAGCGCTCTTGGTAAGACCTAGAACGTCGGGAGCAAAACCCAGCGACCATGACGCTAACGCCCTGATTTCTAAGTCTAGAAGGCACAGAGCATGTTCTGTGAAGATACCTAGGGTATAGCGAGAAACCGATGTGCTTTTCTTACACCTTTTGTACATTCTGGGCTCGGCCCAGCCTGCGAATTTTAGAAACTGCCCTCCCTGAGGGCCTTAGGGAAGGAGGTCGATGAAGACCGTCCTGGCTGTCCACTCTAGAAGTTCCCTGCCAGGGTCATCTGGTAACATCTGGAGACGTTTTGGTTCTCACAGCTGGGGGACGGGTGAGGCCGGCATTTAGTGGGTAGAGGCCAGGGATACTTGTGCCAAACGTCTTACGATGCGCATGACAGTCCCAGAAACAAAGAGGTATCCAGGCCCAAGTGTCAAGAGTGTGAGGGCGAAACCCTGCCTGGCCAAGCTTTGGTCCACTGCCCCCTTTAGCAGACTCTGGAATCTTCGAGGGGGTGTAGACCCCGCCAGCTCTGTTCTGTCACCTCCCCGGAACGCACCCCAGGACCTGCACACTGACGTGATCAACACAGCTCAGTGAGTGAACCAAGGCTTGGCCCAGGCATTCCGATTCACTTCTTCTGAGTCATTTCAGCCTCTTCTCAGCTGTCCAAATGGACCACAAGCTCCCGGAGTGCAAGAGGTGCTTAAAGAGGGGCGCCTGGGTGGCTCAGTCGGTTAAGCATCTGATTTTGGCTCAGGTCATGATCTCACAGCTTGTGAGCTTGAGCCCCATGTCGGGCTTTATGCTGTCAGCACAGACCCTGCTTCGGATCCTCTGTCTCCCTCTCTCTCTGCCTCTCCCCTGCCCCATGCGCTCTCTCCCAAAAATAGACAAAAAACAAAAAACAAAAAACAAAAAAGAAAGAAGAAAGAAAAAAAAAAGAGTTGCTGAAAGGGAAAGTCGGCTTCTTACAGGAAGCCCCCCCTGGTTTTCTCAGCCTTCACTCAACTCCACTTCATAACAGGATACATGAAGGCCTTCATGAGCTAACGTCAATGGCCTCATGGCTCACACCCCACACCCCCCATTCGCATTCGGATTTTAGCCAGGAAGCCCTACACCTCCAGCAACCCCACCGGTCTTTCTCACGCCTCTAGGCCGATGCACCAAGCGGTCCCTCTGCCTGGAGAGCCCTTCCTCCGGTCCCCACCCGGACAACCTCTCTGAATCTTTTATGATGAGCGTGGCCACGGGCTCCTCCGACAGCCCCAGACCCAGGGTGGGGTTTGACGCCCCTCCTCTGCACTTGCGCATCTCCTGCGCTCCCTCCCAAGTACCGCTCTATCGCCCTGGCGTGCGGCTGTCCGTCTCCTCCCTCGCCACCCCTGCAACCCAAGAAAGGGAAGACTTTTCCATCTCCGTATGCTGGCGCTTGGCATACAGGAAGTGCCCAAGGAATCTCCAAGGGAGGAATTATTTCTTACTCCCCTTCAATCCACTTTGGGGCTCAACACCCGGAATAACCTTTCAGACCACTAGACCGGATCGCGGACGCCCCTGGCTGAGATCCACGGAGGCTCCCTGGTGCACACAGAACAAACCCGACGCCTCACCGTGGTGCCACCCACCTCCAGGCCAGCACACCCAGCGGGCCCCACCCCAGGGCCCCTGTGCTCGCTGCTGCCGTGACTCCGGTACGTTCTCCAGACCCTTCCGTGGCCGGCGCCTCCTCTACCTCTGGGGCTTAGCTCAAGTCCTGCCTCCTCAGAGACCTTCCCCGACAGCCCCATGACGGAGCCCCCTGGCCCCTGGCTTCTCTCACAAACCTCCTCTGGTCTTCCTCAGGGCACTTCCCCCTGAGCTTGGCTTCTCCGTCTCGGATCTGTCTCTCTCGGCCAGAACAGAGTTCCAGGAGAGTAGGGACCGTGTCTCTTTTTTGCATCTCGATGTCTAGCGGGCGGAGCGGTGGCCCTGCACAAACGTTATGACCACGTCCCAGCTCCCAAACTTGTGAAGGGGCCCTTGTGGAAAAGGGTCATGAGTGAGCATCCTGGATTTAGAGGCCCCTGAACCAAGTAACAGGTGGCCTTAGAGAGAAAGGCAGAGAGAGAGAGACCAGAGACCCAGAGAGACCCAGAGGGGAGGGTCGCGTGAAGATGGCAGCTGAGCCTGGCGTGATGTGTCTGCTGTTTCAAACCACCCAGTTCGGGGCAGCCGTCTACGCAGACACAGGAAGCGAACGCAGAACGCTCTGCTCTGATCTATGCGTCATGGGTCCCCGACCAATAGTTGTTGGGTGAATGAATGGGAGCCTGGCGGGGCCCCCCGGGGGCCCAGCCCCCACCCAGTCCAGACCCACAGCCAGTCCCCGGCTCTCACCAGCCACCAGCCGTAGGTGTCCTCCTCCAGGAGCGCGTTCTGGGCCGTGAGCAGCGGCTGCATGGACCGGTTGAACCTCTCGTCGAACCAGGGCGAGACCTTCTGCTGCCCGATGCAGCGGGCGCACGTGCAGGGCCTGTGCGCGTACTTCATGAACTTCTTGAAGTTCTCGGACAGCTCGACGACCATCTGCTTGGGGAACCAGGTGGTGGCCACCGTGGTGTGGGAGTAGTTCAGGAAGAAGGAGGTGAGGAAGATGAAGAGGACGAGGAGGGTAAGCACTTTGAGAGTCCTTTTCCTCACGGTCACCATTTCTGCTCTGTCCGGAAGGACGCCTCCCAGGGACGGGCTGGAGGAAATCACGCCCGGGAGCGGGGGGGGGGGGGGGGGGGGGGGGGGGGAACGTGGAAGAAAAATCCCAGAGACGGAGGCTCGGTCACAAGGCGAGGCGGGGACTCCCAGGGGGACTGCGGCCGACTTCGCTCCCGCGGGCCAGCGGCCACCCCAGTGTGCCGGACATCACCCTGTGATGGCCGGCGGCTAAGTGACCACTCAGGGTGAGGTTGATTCCCCTTGCATATAATCTGTCTTTCCAGGAGATAAGCAGGCGGCTTGGTCAGCAGTCCTTAAACAGCCAATAGTGTCTCTCGAAGCTTTAATCAAACTTAATAATATGATTTCCGTTCCCATCCAAAGGGGTTGAGGGGCAATTAATCTTTGTGACAGATGCAGGGACTCTCGGGGGTGGGGGGGGTGGTGAGGACCTCAAAGGAAGGGTCACGGTGCAGGAGAGAGGGAAGCTGTCTTTGCCATCGTCCTCCGGAAGGGATGATGTGTGCTGATACTTAATTACAACCCGGTCTTTCCCACGCTGTCACCATTAAGCAGCCTGCTTGACGAAGGCACTGAGGGCCGTCTGTCACCTGCACGGAAAAGGAGGAAGAAAACAGGGTGAAATCGCATTAGCTTGTTATAAAAACCCATCTCTCTCTCCTCACCTCCTCCAGGATGAGCTCCGTGATCTCCCACTCTGTTGTCAAGCCAACGAGATGGGAGGCTATGGACGATTTACTCCCCGTCTTGAGCCTCGGGGTGTGCCTGTGGCTAATGGGATGTTGGCGCCTATTCCGCCAAGTTGTTAAGGGACACAGAAGTTGCCCCCCCCCCATCTCTCCGCAGCCAGAGCCTTGTACATGTAAGCGTTCAGCCGAAGTTTGTGAAATGAGTCAACGATGCACGAACAGCGCCAGGCACCCAGAGACTGCTACGTACATCCTCCTTTCTCGCTCCTTCACTCTCCTTTGGATTCTGAATTCAACAACAGTTCTACGCTTCTGCGCACCCCGGCATGCACCCTCTGCCGGTCAGCCTCAGCCCTATGAAGCAGGCTTTCGATGGCCCAGGTTCAAGTTCTGGTTTACCAGCCCCGTGGTCTTGGGAAGTCCGTCAGTCTTCCCGGCCCCCAGTTTCCTCTTCTGTGAAATGGGAAAACAACACCTCCACTCAGAAGTGGTTAGAAAGGTAAGGTAAAATGCGACAGGCTGAGCTTCTGGGATCTGTTAGGTGATTGTTCAGCTTTCCTTTTCCTCTTTCCACGCATGATTGAATGAGGATTCTTGGATGATCCACTAAAAGCCGGACACGATGGTCGATCATTCTTGTGTACCTATCTCGTCCAAGAGTCCTCAAAGTGTACTGCCAGACAAACAGGGGTTCCCCATTTTGTCCTCAGAATAAACGGGCTCAAGGAGACCACATGGCCCTCCCCAGGTCATGGGGAAAAGAGGAAGCAGGTCCTGAATCCAAATCCACACCCCTCTGCTTCCACACGTGGGGAGGGGAGTTCCAGGATCAAGGACTCTGCTCGGGAAGCGATACGTTATCTGGCAACTGGTCTTCGGCTGGAAGGGTGTAACCGAAAGGGGGAGCAGATCTCATCAAAGGAAGCCAACAGGCACTCCTCGGATATGCATAGCACAAGTCCCCGGACGTCCCTGACCTTATGGCGGTCACACCTCTTCACTTGAGCTTGCTGACTCTGGTCTTTGCTTAGCATGTGTCCCCTGCCCCAGCCCCAATCTCCGTTGGGTCAATTCCTCCCCATCCTCAATGTGTAGATGCCACAGGTACATTTTTTTTCTAGGAAAGTAACGGTTGGAGGGCTATTGATTACTATAGAAAAAAAGGGGGGGGGCAAAAATCAGATTAAATCCATAGCGCATTCCTGGAGACATCCAGGGCTCCAATGTGCTACCACCCTCTACGACCTTCCCGATCTTCAGCCCAGCGGGCAAGGGGACATCTTGATTTGCCCAGTGCACCACTTGTCATTGTTCAAAACAACCCCACTTGTCCTGGTGACCTACGGGTGTCCAGAGTTGTCCCTTCCGGCCCCCCCCTCCCCACCCCGGCCGGCTCTTCCAGGAAGAAGCAGCTCTGTCGCTTGAGTTAGATTAACCTGCTTACCGTCAAGGGCGGGCTCGGATTTGACTTGGCTGGCAGGGGATTCCCGGCCCTCTCGGTCCAGGGATGGATGGGTATGTGTGCTAAGTCCTCCAGTCAGACTGAAACCCCCTGACTTGCAGGAGGCGAAGAAACTTGATTTTGCTCTGGCTGTTTGATTTTTGGACATAAAAGTCAAGGTCGTGCTGGCCGGTTTAATGGCTCAAGTGGACGAAGCGAGGGCTGAGCAGGACCGGGGCAGGTGGTGCTGAACCTGGTCCTTACCTGCAGTCCACCCTCCGCCTTAACATCTGCGTGACATGAGACAGGTAACAAAGCCCCTTTATTTTGTAAAGCAGATTGCTTCTAGCTTGAAGCAGTGCGACTGATCCACAGGTCAGAGCTGTCCCTGCCTTTGGGCTCCTGCCCACACTGACCCCACTGTGTGCAAAGACCATCCCGCCCTGTTTGACTCCCACTCGTTCTTCAGGGATCAGCTGGTGCTGACTCCTGGAAGAAGGCCCGCCTCCTCCTGGCAGGAGCAGCCTCCTCTCTGGCTTCCACAGCATCTGGCTCCACGCCGGGGGTCCTGTTTACTCATCTGTCTCCTCCCTGGGCCGGGAGCTCCACGAGGACGGGAACTCAGTCTCACTCACTGTTGGGTCCCCGTCACCTGGCACACACACACGGCACAAAAGGAACGCCGAAGCGGATGCCGGGAAAGACAAGGGCCAACCATCCAGAGGGGAGAGCTGGGCAGAAAAGCACAGACGGAGAATCAGAAGATGCTGATTCTCAGCGACGCTGTACCGCCCGTTTGCTGTGTGGCCGTGAACGAGTCACCTGCCCTCCCTGAACCGTTTCTTCAACTGGAAAATGGGGCTGGTATCACAGATTCTTTCCACTTTGCTGGGCTGTCACCCAGGCAAGGCTGGTCCAGTCATCTGATCCACGCACTGCATATTTTCTAGAGCTCTGCGATGCTCCAGGCTCTGGGATAGGTGGTTGGGACACATCGAGAAAGAGTCTAAGGTGGGAGGTTCCCAGGCAGATGCAAGGCCCTGGTGCCTTTGGGAGAAAGGAGGGCTGGTCCACCGGATCGATGTGGAGGAGAGGAACAGGCATGTGTGAGGGTGGGGTGGAGAGCACGGGGCTGTGGAAGCCACTAGAAAGGCTAAGTTTGCTCAGAGTGACATGGGGACCCGCCGACACCAAGGGCAGAGACAAGGTCACTCAAACAGAGGACTGTTGGACCGCACAGATCAAATAAAGTTCTGAATGAGCTGTCAGGGTCCCTACAAGGTCCTGGCTCCATGGGACAGATATTCATGCTCTGAGCTGATGCTGGGCTGGAGTGAGGGGGGGGAACAGAGGGCAAGGCTGGGCTGCAGAAGCAGGGGAACCACAACACCCTCCTCCCGTCCACTCAGCACGTCCCGGTAGCCGCATCTCCGAGGCCAGAGCGCTCGCCCGGATCCCATCCCAGCAGAGACCTTCTGTGCCAGCATCAGTGAGTGCTTTCCAAAGCCCTCGCGTGCACGGCAATGGAAAAGCGAGAACACCCTTCCACCCCTTCCCCGGCCCCGGGGAAGAAACAAGGAAAGCGTAACTGCCCTGTACCCCAGTAAGTGACGCAGCCTGTGACACACGGGCGAAAGCCAGCCCTGCTCCCGGGAGCGGAACCCGGACCAAGATGCCACGGGCCTGAGACCTCCGCGCACGCACCAAGCGTGTGGCGAGGGAGGCCGGCCACACCTCCCCCGGGGACACGGCCCCCTGGCCCGCCTGCAGAGTGACGGGCACCTCTCAGCCACGTGCTGGAGGACAAGCCAGCTCCCTTTAGTCGCACTTTGCAGATACTGCGTCTCTTACAAATTGGACAGCGGCATCCCTGTGCCTCGCCAGCCTATCGGTGCCGTTTCCCAACAGTGTTCGCTCATGTCGCATCTCTGCGTGACATTTTGGCCATCCTCACGATATTTCAACCTTTTTCACTATTAGATTTGTTAAGATGGCCCGTGATCAGTGATTACGGCGGGCTGAAAGCTCAAATGAGGGTTAGCACTTTTTAACAGAAAAGGATTTCTACGTTAAGGTATGCACCTTGTTTTTTTAAGGCATAATGCTACTGCACACATAACAGACTCCCCCCGTGGAAGTATAACTTCTGTACGCTCCAGAAAACTCATTTGACTCACTTTGTTTACAATATCCGCTGGATCGCGCTGAACTGAACTCTCAAGATCCCCACGGTATGCCTGTACTGGAGGAGGCACGGAGAAAGTGTATGTGACAGTCTAAAGGGGTCACTGGCACAATGGTGACACACGTTAGCACCTTTTCAAGGATCCAGAAAGTCACGATTTCCCTCAAGAGGGTGCTGAGCAAGGATAAACCTCTCTGGCAACAGGGAGAGGCTGGCAATGACCAGCCACTGACAGATGAGCTGTTTTAAATGCTTGGAAAGCCTGGGGAACGAACCGCACGGGTTTCTGTTCCGTTCACGCCTGCCGCGGTGCACAGATCCCCCAAGGCTGGGATGCCCCCTAGCTCTCCGCAACGCCCCTGCAGGAGAGTTGCCAGTGAAATGACCAAGGGGGCGAGTCGATGGGTGGGTACATCAGCACGTCGCGTGAAGAAGTGCAGTGCTGCCCTCCGTGTGGACCCCCCTCCGTGTGGACCCCCCTCCGTGTGGACCCCCACACAACCGGGCCAAATGGATAATCATGCTTATTTTCCTGACATGGGAAACTGAGGCTCAGAGAAGGCAAGCGACTCGTCTAAGGTCACACAGAGAGATGGTGGCAGAGCCAGCACTCCGCCCCCGCCTTCTGCTGCTCCTTCTAGATCTTTCTCTACAGCCACAGCTACTCCTCTATTTCATCAACACCTGCTCTCATCTTCGTTACTTCCTTTCTTGTCATTTCTTTGGGCCTGAAATCTGTTGTCTTTCCAATTTCTTAAGACGCATACTACCTTGCCATGCCCTCTCCCTCTGCATCTAATGTCTTTGAATTAGGTATTGCATTCATTTCGGTTATTGTATTTTTCAGTTCTAGAATTTCCATCTGAGCCAAACTTTTATGGGTTCTTGTTTTCTTCAGGTGAGATTCCCCCTCTTGTCTACCGTCCTGCAATTATTCACCACAGTTATTTTAAAGACCATCATGTCTGTCCCTTGTGACATTTGGAGAACATGTGGGTCTACTTCTATTGTCTGTTTTCTCTCTTTATTTCTCTTCCATCATTTGGTTCTGTCTCCCGGCATGCCTGGTAACTGTGCATACTGTATGTGCCAAAAGCACAGAGGCCCTGGAACAGGCCGTCCTCATTCGGAGAGGAACGTGAGCAGGGACTTTGTTCCAGTTGGTGACTGGGATGAGTGGGGCCACACTCTAGTTTTCACAGTGACTGGTCATTTCTGGTTTGCCCTCACTCAGAGGCCCTTCTCAAAGGATAGCGGGGATGTCTACCGAGGCCC